TTAACCTCTTAGACGTCACGAGAGAGGTCGTCACTCTCAACGGCACAGGAATGGGAGTCCCCTCGACCTTCGGAGAATGTGTTGCCCTGACGTTCCATCCATCAGATGGGATTTGGGTCACAAGCAAGGGAGCGATACGTAACTGGCGGTGTCCTAGCTGTGGGATCCATCGTCGCGCGCTGGTCTTGGGTCGAGACACTCTTCTACCCGGATCTAGTGTAGGGACTGTCCTTGACGGCTTTGGCTGCTAGCTCCGGTCGGCATAGACCAGGGTTGGGGCCCTGTACCTCCTCCCCTCTAGGTGCCCCCAGCTACCCCTTCTCTCTGTCTTTGATATGTCGTTGTTGGTCTCGGATGCACCGGATTCATCCAGATCTGGCCGACGTGGCCGATATGTGCTCCTTGATGGTTGTGGCATGTGACCCTCTTCTTGTTTCGATGGGATGTGTGTGGGGGCCAGATACCAAGGTGATGTCCCTAGGCAGAGCGGATGGTGTCATCTCTTCAACGAGCGAAGATCGTGGGTGCTGGTCCGTGACTTCGTCCATGTGGACGGCGAGGTTGCGGCGGGCATGCACTATGGTGTGTTGGGGTGCCCCGTCACCCGGCATGCCTGCTTCCGACGATGTCCACCACCCTTCAACGGTGGTTTGTGCTCCCCTATTCAGTTTTGTGGTTGGTTGGTTGGGATGGGGAGTGGGGCCGGGGGAAACCCTTGGTCGTCGGCGGAGGGCTTGTCGAGGTGCCCTCATGTTCTCCTTCTTGCTCCCCCTTTGGCAAAAGCTCTAGTTCCCCGTGCGAATGGGCGGCGGCGTGCCCTCGTTGCGCCTCTTCCTGAAGGCATTGTCCAGGGTTCGTGGAACCAAGGTTGGTGATCTTTTGCTGGATTGCGGGCGGTCGGTGGCGGCTTCTTATGCATCGATCTACTTCTTCTACCACCATTATTTGTTATGTGGTAACATTCTTCGGCTTGCGTTTGCATGTGTGGTTGGCCTGTGGTCGGTGGTGAGATCACGGGAGCCTTGCGATTGTGGTTAGCTCTCCGGTCCCTCATGCCCAGGATGCTTGGTTGGCATTGTCCATGCTGCCCTATGGTTAGCTTTCTGCCTTCCGACGGTACGAGGCCCTTCGAGCCAGAGCGAGAGGATTGTGATCCTCTTCGGAGGTAGAAGTAGATGTCTTGTTGAGAAGCTCTGCGGGAGTAGACAAAGAGGTGTTGGCTACCGGTGCTAGTGTGGTTGTTGTTCTTGACCTTTGGCCTCGGTGATTTAGACTGGGCTCATTTTTCTATTTTTCTTTTGTGTGTATCATCGTTAGGCTATAAGCTGCGTCAACACCTTGTATCTTGCCGTTTCTTGTCTACTGTTTTCTTTTGTAAGTTGTTTATTAATTCAAAGCAGGCTAGATTCAAACTTTTTCTCAGGCTCGACCCATGCCTTTTCTCTAAAAAAAAGACTGAACAGAGTTCAGGACTGCAATTTGGTTGAAGAAAAAATGCAAATGAAGGGAAGACAAATTACATAACAAGAACATAATGATCGACTACCTTACGATGGGTACCAACATGACAAAACAAATGCCATTTTCTCCGATAATTGAACGAAAAGAAAAAACTGGTCACCAAACCGAACTAGACGTTTATCGTTGAATCCGAACCGTCGTTTTCTGAAAACTTCTCCATGCATGAGAAGCATGGAAAAGCTGGCAAGAAGAACATGGACTGCGCATAGTCAGTTCTGCACCTAACCGTGCTCATTAGTTTCATGTGGCCGGACTTGTAGATAATTTCATATCTTGGACTTCAGGGTCATGTTCCGTAGAAAGTCTGTCGTAAATATATTGTTTGTCAAACATGCATACTGTAGTACTCCCTCCGTTCCTAAATACTTGTCTTTCTAGACATTTTAAATGACTACTACATACGGATGTATGTAGACATATTTTAGAGTGCAAATTCACTCATTTTGCTCCGTATGTAGTCACTTGTTGAAATGCCTAGAAAGACAAGTATTTAGAAACGGAGGGAGTAAATTTGACTGCGTGCATGTCTTCATGAGGACGTGAGCATACTCTATTTGAAAGTAAACATGGCATACTGTGCTCTATCAAGGTGATATGAGCCCCGCTAAAAGAAGGTCATATATAAGGGCATCTCCTACGCGGACCCTTAAACTACTCGCAACCTCCTTGACCACACTTTTCGGACGCGTTTTGTCATTCAACACGGACCTGTATCTGTATCGGTTCGTAAGCTGGTCACAAATGTTCAAACCGGAGATAAATTGGGTGGCTTTGCGGGCGTCCGAAACGATGCCACGCCCGCTTCTAACTACACTGGCCCACCAAAGAAACCCACCCGCCTCACCCGCACTTTTCATCGAACGTCGGCGCCGTTGCCGCGCCGCATTCATACCGGCCCAGAGTATGCACCGGACGGCATTGATGTTGCGCGACGTAACCGGACGTGAGGGTGACGCTGACAGATGCGACCTCTAGAGCGTCGTCGCTTTAATGCGACACCGCGTTCTGAGAAACGAACTCTGGCCGTTGCGCCGCATTGAAGCGGGTTGACCGCCGGTTCGCGTGGTCGTGGGCGCGGCTATTTAAGATGCGCGCCGGTGATGCACGTCCACACCTCCTCCTCTTGTGCCACTCCTCTCTGAGCCCCCAAAATTCCAGTGCCGATGCCAAAGTCATGGTTCTCCGCGCCGGCAGGCGGAGGCCGTGGCCGTGGCAGTTCTTCTTCAGGCAGATTTTGGCGCCGCCGTCGTCGCTCTCCTGGCACCTCGGCATCCACGGCGGCTGGCTCCTCCGGCAAGGATGAGATTGTCATCTCTTCCGACGAGGAGGAGGACCAGATGCCGCAACAACGGCTCGAGCAGCAGCCCCGCCTTCTCGCGTGAGGCCACCCTGACGGATGATGATGGAGTGTTCGCTCCGTCACATGGGTCCGGCGCAACCATCGCCGGTGCGCGTCAAGGAGGAGCCACCATCCCCGCCGCGCTTTCGCGGTTGGAGGGACGACACGGACGGTGACGATGGTGCGGCAAGGCAGGGCGGCCACGCCTACGAGATGGTCATCCGGTATAGGGTTTAATTATTTTAAAAGTTTTTAGTTAAATGGTCGAAATATCGACTTTTTATGTAAATTATTTCTGAACTTGAATGAAATCCGTCGAGTTTGTTTAAATTTCATCCGGTTTGTTTAAACGTGTATGCATGTAGTGTTGGATGGCCAACTCCCGCACCCGTGTCCGTAAACTGGTCCCCTGTCCGTGGATGGATGTGGGAGGAAATTTGGGGGTCAGAGTTGGAGATGCCCTAAGTATGGTATCCGAAAACACAGGTTATACAAGAGCGTCTCTAACGGTCCCTTATATTTCATCCAGTAAATTCCCCCTAAAATTTGAGAGATTGATTTTTTTTTTTGCACTTAGCCCTGAAACTTAATCCTCTAAAATATACTCCCTCCGTTCCTAAATATAAGCTTTCTAGAGATTTCAATATGGACTACATTCGGAGCAAAATAAATGAATCTACATTCTAAACTACGTCTATATATATCTGTATGTAGTTCATATTGGAATATCTATAAAGACATATATTT